CATTCTTTTACTACTTCAGTTGGTTGAGAAGGCTCATTCTCTTCCAAATACAATTCTTCAAGAACCTCTCTTATGTACTCATAATCACCTGCAAGTTCTTTATTTGACTCAAGAGGATTTCCCCCAAGATCTACAATTTCATCAAAAGTGACATGTACAGATTCTTCAACATTTAAGGTTCTTCTATTAAACACTCTATAAGCTTTGCTAGTTAATGAATAACCTAAGAAAATGCCCTCATCGGCTTTTGAGTCAAATTTTCCTAAGTTTTCCTTTCCATTATTTAACACAAAACACTTACATCCAAATATTTTCAAATGAGCAACATTAGGCTTTCTACCATTTAACAATTCATAGGGAGTTGATTTTATAATTGGCCTAATGAGCATTCTATTCAAAACATAACATGCAGTACTTACAGCATCAGCCCAAAAATATTTAGGAACATTTGATTCATTTAGAATTGTTCTAGCAAGTTCCTCTAGTGACCTATTTTTCCTTTCAACTACACAATTTTGTTGGGGAGTCCTAGGTGCAGAAAAATTATGTAATATACCATTTTCCTCACAATAATTTTCAAACCTTTCATTTTGAAACTCACCACCATGGTCACTTCTTAAAACTTTAATTCTTAAGTCTTTCTCATTTTGAATTTGCTTTGCAAACTTCCTAAAGACCTTAAAAGCTTCACTTTTCAATGTTAAGAAAAATGTCCAAGTATATCTAGAAAAGTCATCAACAATTACAAGAGCATAATAATTTCCACCAAAACTTTTTATCCTAGAAGGACCAAATAATTCTAAATGTAATAATTCTAAAGGTTTTGATGTGGAAATAACATTCTTTGATTTAAATGATGATTTTACTTGTTTACCTTTTTGACATGCATCACATAATCTATCTTTTTCAAACTTTAACTTAGGCAAACCAACAACTAAGTCTTTTGATATCAACTTATTTAAATGATGCATATTTATATGAGCCACTCTCTTATGCCATAATCATGGGTTCTCTTCCTTAGCAACTAAGCATGTTATACTAGAATCATGTATACAATCCAAATCAATCAAATATATATTATTATGCCTAATACCTTTCAATGCTACTTTTTCGGAATCTATGAAATGTATGGTACAAAACTTACTTTCAAAGATTACCTTAAATCCTTTGTCACATAGTTGACTTATGCTAAGGAGATTATGCTTTAGCCCATCAACAAGAAGCACATCCTTAATCTCCAAAGTGTTTGTACCACCTATATTTCCAATTCCAAGAATCTTTCCTTTGTTGTTGTCCCCATAAGTTACATATCCTTGTTCTTTAGCTTTGAAACTCACAAATTTTGTTTTGTCTCCGGTCATATGTTTAGAACATCCACTATCAAGATACCACATAGACTTCTTTGATTTGGAAGCTTCCTACAAAACAAGAACATAGTGAACTTAGGTCCCCATAATTTTTGGGTCCTTGGGGTTAGAGACAAACAATTCATTTAACTAAAGGAACCCAAATATATTTTCCTTTAGGAACACCAAAATGTTTGATTTTACATCTATTTGAAGTATGACCATGTTTCATACAATAAAAACATGCTTTAGATGTAGCTTTTGAATATGATGCATTTCTAACAATAGATGCTCTAGTTCCTTTTTCAACTCATACTCTTTTATTTTTCATTTTAGGCTTTTTTAAAGGAACATGATGGTTTACCCTATTTTGAGCAATAACAACATTATCTTTATTATTATTACTTAATTCCTTTTCGGCTTTATCAAGCAAATGATTAAGTATATCAATGTCATATTCATACTCTTTACATGATGCACATGCTATATTTTTATCATCATTCTCATCTATACATATAATTTTCGTTTCTAAGGTTTCCTTTTCCTCTAAATATGCAATTTTCGTTTTTAAGGACTCCACTTCTTTTTTGGATCTACTTAAACTCTTTTTCACAGCTTTGTATTCATTTTTCAAGTCCTTAAAGGCACTAAACAATTCATTATATGCATTTTGCAATTCATCAAAATTATTTTCATCATCACTTGAAGATGAGTCGGAATCACTTACCTCAAAATCTGAAGATATATTGTCATTTGCCATTAAGCAAATATTGGCTTCAATTTCCGAGTCACTTGACTTCGAACTCGAATCACTATTGTCCCAAGTGATGTAGGCTTTCTTCTTGAAGAACTTTTTGCCGTTGTTATCTTCATTTTTCTTGTTTGGACATTCGGTCTTCACATGTCCTGATTCACCACAACCATAGCATTTTATATTTACGGAAGTATTTTCTTTTACCTTTCCTTTACCTTTGAATGAATGTCTTCCTTTGGTTTTCATGAATTTGGTAAACTTCTTAATCATGAGACTCAATTCTTCTTCATCATTCTCCGAGTCTTCTTCTTCCTTTTTACTCTTACCTTTGAAAATTTCAATTTTGAAGGCTAAGTTCCTCTTTTGATGTTGTCCTTCCTCATCGTTTAGCCTTCCTAGTTCAAGCTCATGCTCTCTCAACTTTCCAAAGATCGCCGCCATAGACATTGTGGCAAGGTTTTGTGACTCCGAGATGGTCGTCACTTTAGGTTGCCATTTCCTATCCAAAGATTTCAAGATTTTAACATTTAATTCATCAACATCAAAAATTTTACCTAACCTGGTGAGATGGTTCACAATGTGTGTGAAACGCTTTTGAACGTCAAATATCGTTTCTCCTTGTTGCATACGAAACATCTCATATTCTTGGATTAGAGAATTTTTCCGTGCTCTCTTAACGTCGTCGGTACCTTCGTGGGTTACTCTCAACATTTCTCACATCTCTTGGGCACTTTTACAAACGGAGATCCTGTAAAACTCATCAAGGGTTAACGTAGATGAAATAATATTTCTAGCCCTAACATCAAATTGAGTTTTTCTATTTTCCTCCGCCGTCCATCTAGAAAATGGTTTAGGAACGTCTACTCCGTTTTCAGAAACTTTAGGAATATAGGGACGGTTTAAAATAGCGTCTCAAACACCTCTATCAACAGACTCTAAAAAGATTTGCATTCTGACTTTCCAAAATGGATAATTTTGACCCGCAAAAAGTGGGGGTCTATTGATAGAAACACCTTCGGCAAACGTTTGATTTTGTCTGACCATTTTCGAAAAATTTGAATGACTATCAAAGCAAGCTCTGATACCACTTGTTAGAATCGCGCAACAAAATGTTTGCGTGAACGGACAAAAACCAAGAGGGGGGTGAATTGGTTTCTTAACAAAAATTAGGTTTTAAAAATTTTCTCCAAATTTTACCGATTAAAATGCTGTGTAAACGTAAATAGAATAAGGATAGAGTCTTACACAGAAGATTTATACTGGTTCGGATCAAAAGACCCTACGTCCAGTTGCTAATCACTCAAACAGAGGATTAACGCTGTCACTATAATCAAAGCTATTACAAACAGATAACAATGGAAAAGATAGAGTAATGAAAACACCTCTCTTGAGTCACACAAGAGATGAAAAATAGCTTTCCCTAGAGACAACACAACACACAATCTACTAAGAACTCCACTTAGTGATTCTTATCGCTTCTAGCCCACACTAGGTTCCAAAAGCCCCTTTGTCCTCCAACAAACAGTTCTCTGGCAATCACAACTCTCAACTTTTGTTTGAAAAAGATTGTTCAATTTTCTGAGAGGCTTAGAGAACCTTAAGTAGATGAATTAGGGTTTGGGAATTGGGGATTTTTGAAACTTGGTGTATTGGGACTAGGGTTTTCGAAAATAAGTTTAATTTGAAGTTCAAAATGCATATCTGACTAAAATAGTCGATTATCTCAAGTGTTAATCGATTATTACAGAGCCAAAATCAACAAGAACCCACAACGCACTGCTTTTATCGATTATTTGCCCTGTTAATCGATTAATAGGCCTGTTAATCGATTAATAGGAGTGTTAATCGATTATTACAGAGAGCTGATATAGAAAATGATTTTTCTCTCTGTAATAATCGATTATTTGGTCCTTTAATCGATTAAACCCGTGGGTTTTTTTGATAAAAATGAGTTTTTGAAGCTTCTAAAGAGTAGACTATGTACTGGCTATCTTAGACTCTAATATTACATACTCAAACTCATCAAAACAGAGTTATTACACAAGAATACAAGTCTTCAACTCTCTAAGTCCATTGTTCTTGAATCATCATCAAAATCAACAAGTTTCATGTCCATGTAACTTCAACATTCATGTTCTTGTATGTTTCAACATTTGTTGCCTATAAGCATGAGTTGATCAATGCCTAAATTCTTACATTACCAAATTTTACATAATCTTTTGAAATTGAAAGTTATACATCAAATGTGGGTATTAAGTTGTTTTGATGTAAAAAAGTCATCTAATTACTTATTTTAGTGAAAAATTAAATGAGTCTTAAACTATCATTTGTGATAAGGAATATGTTACTCTTGTGAGATATTTACAAACTTAGTAATACTATTTTTTTTCCTTAAAAAATTTATAATTCATAATAATCATGAGTCTTTAAATGTCTAAAAGATCAAGAAAAATTAAATAAAAGACATTGTCAAATGGTTTTTTTTTTCTTTTTTCAATGCAACTAAATAAAAAGGCCATACTTGAACTGAAACAATAGATAAAAAAGCGTAACATAGAGAGAGAGAAGAAAATTAAGACAGAAACATGGGTCCTAACGTAATATGCTTGTTTGTTGTTTGGTGATGAGACCGAGGAGAAGGTAATATGCTTTTTTGTTGTTTGGTAATGAGATGGAGGAGAGAAAGAAACATAACTGTCAATAACAGATGCTTGTTGGCTAAGCATAAACCAGACCATCGCTTTCTTTCACTTCATCTTCCCACTCTGAGCCAACTCTCATCTTCACTCCCACCACACCACACTCCCTTTAATCTCCATTCCCATCACATGACATGACCCAAACCTCCATTCCCTCACACCCGGAGCTTCTTCCAGTTCCGGGCATCCCTTCCTGAAACCATGCCTTCTTCTTCCCCCAAATCCTTCTACCCTCGCCCTCCCCCTCGCAGAACCTCCTTCCTCATCTTCGCATGCCTCTTCCTCTCCCTCTCCGCTTTCTTCTTCGCTTTCGTCAGACCCCTTTGGGACCCTCCCTGCCCCACCCGCACCCCCACATCGGTTCGAGTCCTCTGGGACCACCGTCCCACCGCCGACCGCAATTCTGAGGTTGAGAACAAACACAAAGTTATGGCCTTTGTGGGAATTCAAACCGGGTTCGGATCCGTCGGGAGGCGCCAATCTCTCAGGAGCACTTGGTTTCCTTCCGATCCACATGGACTTCAAGGGTATTGCGGTTCTTCGTTTATTTGCTGATCTTTGCTATATTTGTTTTTGCACACAACATATAGATACTGTTACCTCTGATCTCCAATCAGATTTGTACTTTCACTTCTTTATTCTGGGTATTAAAGAATTTCACTCGAAGAAGTGAAACTTCAATTCTAATTGGAGAACAATACAAAAGTACCATAGCACTTATGGTCCTGTATGTAAATTTTTTTTATGCATTAACGACAAGAAAGACTTGACTCGTTCACCTTTTGCATCTGTCGCAACTCCACCACTAGGCTGAGCCTAGTGGTTTTTGGTATCTATTTATAGATGTTGAGGAATGTGAACGATTTAAACAATCTTATTGAACAAATGTTGTCACTGATCTGCTTAATTTTGGGACATGAGATTGCTTCGAAGCTTTGATAAACATACTCCATTTTGGAGGTGTATATAAGTGGAGGATAGAATAAGGTAGAAAGAAGGAAAGAGATGTAAGATGAAAAAATGGTAGAAATGAAATGGAAGAGAAAGTGAATGATTTGCATAGTCTTATAGTAAACTGTTATCATTGATCTGCACACATACACTCCCTACGCTGCATTTTGAGGTTTACATAGGGGGATAAAGAATGGAAAGAAAAAGTGAAAATGAAGAGAAAGAGGGTAAGTGTGATAATTGATGTGACAAGAAAAGAAATGAGAGACAGAAGAAAATTTGATAGGAATCAGATGGAAGAGGAAATGGATGAGTTATGGTCATTGCCATGTCTTCATAAGTTCTGTGTTACAGTTTTAGTCATGGACGATACTATCTGTATTTATGTGTCGTAGTTCAGGTTTATCTATCTATATCAAAATTTGTGGACAGATGCGGCTGAAGGTGAAAGTAGTCTATATTATATAGAAGAAATGATTTAAATTTCACAGAGCGCAATAGATGGGTGAGCTTACGTTTCTGCTTTATGAATATGATCCTTTTGGGTCATTTTTAATGATGTCAATTTATTTTGACATTTTTAATTTCTGGAATTTCAACTCCTATGTAGTTCTATAGGCCGATGGTCAGCTGTATGCATGAACCGCTCAAACTGTTTTGTTGGTGGGTTGGGTATTTTTGAGGGAATTTGTGTTCGGAATCAAGAATTGAAAAGAGTAAGAAAAGAAAATTTCTTATTAAATAGAATGAAAAGAACAAGAAAGAGAGTACTCTCTTCTCTAAAGTTTCTCCTTCATAAAAGATTTCTCTTTACATAAAGAGCTAATGCTCAATTTACAAAATGAACAACCCTTTCTCGTATCCTTCTTATCCTGTTTATAGCTAGCTAACATCTTAAGTAACTAACTAAATCATTAATATTGTAACTATCTTAACTATGTTCTCCTTCTCTTCATACCTAACAATTTTTGTCTGAAAGTGATGTGATCATTTGCAATTATCTCTACTCATTAGATATCCCAAATTTGTTTTGTTGCTTGCAGATTGGAAGAAGCCACTGGCTTGGCTTTTAGGTTTGTGATTGGTAGAACGAATGATAGATCGAAGATGTCTGCACTTCAGAAGGAAGTGGCAAAATATGATGATTTCATTTTACTGGATATAGAAGAGGAGTACAGTAAGCTCCCATACAAAACGTGTGTGCTGAGAGTTAGTGAACTGCTATATTTTATGTCAGTAGTTTGGTGCTGAGCTGAATTTGGCCATTTATTACAGGTTAGCTTTTTTCAAAGCTGCTTATGCACTTTTCGAAGCAGACTTCTATGTCAAAGCAGATGATGACATATACTTAAGGCCAGGTGCTATATCTTTCAGTTCCTAACTTGGTTAAATATGGTGATGAACTTTGTTTATGGGATTAATGATTACTTTATAATTAATATTAATGCTATCATATTCATTTTTTATGTCAGACCGTCTTTCATTATTGCTGGCAAAAGAGCGATCTCACCCTCAGACCTACATAGGATGCCTGAAAAAGGGCCCTGTTTTCACTGATCCCAAACTCAAATGGTTAGTTCTGTTTAGATTAAGTATATTTTATCTCCACGTTTTCAGTATATCACTATCCTACTCTGCACTGTCTTGGTTTCCGCATTCGGCATATTGTTTGCTCTTTTCAACCCAAATTTTTCTTGGGTTCTTGTTATATGGTCAGATTCTTGGACTCTTGGTTTGGTAGGAATTTGCACCTCTTGGTTAATCATGTCTGGAAAAAATTCTTGGACTTACAGTCATGCTAATTGGACTAGTTTTGTGAATAATGTTCAGTTTTTTGTTGGTGTACATTCTTGGTCACGCCCTTATTTCTACTGAGCGAATATCGGGCTATGTCCTCTACTTGTTTTGAGATTGTTTGACTTTTTTATATTGGAAGATCTTGGTTTTCCTCAACGTGATTACAGTTCTGCCAATGTGATATCTTTTCTCATCAGTTCTTTATCTTTTGGAGTAACAGTACTAATAAATCTTGCAGGTATGAGCCACTATCTAATTTGCTTGGAAAGGAATATTTTCTTCATGCTTATGGTCCTATATATGCTCTTTCTGCCGATGTTGTCTCAAGCTTGGTAGCACTTAAGAATAACAGGCATGCTTCCTCTCTCCTTTCTCCTTGACTTTATTGCCTTTTCATTTAACCTTCAATAATAGTAGGTTCGCAATAACTCACATGGATATATTAGAAATATATTTGTGTTGGTGATATTCTCTGTAATAACACTTGATGCATTTGTTGATCTTTAGGTGTTGGATTTTTGTTTATTCATTTGTTTGTTTTAATTTTTGAGGTCATGTTGGCTTCTTTTTTTTGTATACTTTCTTCTTTCCTCTTTCTTGGATTTGCGAATTCATTTTGTTAAAATTCCATATTGATTAGAGATACAATAAAATTATAGTACATAAGAGGGATGCAAACCTCACTCAATAAGTTAGTTTGTGTGGTTGAGTTAGACATATCTTCATTTCTAACATAGTATCAGAGCCATAGCTCTAGCGATATTAGACCCATTATCGGACTGGAATTGAACCACTCGTATTCTTGATGTGAGGAGGTCAGATATGTATCTGGTGGTGGTGGATTTACAAACCATTCTATTATAATAGAAGAACATCCAATAGTATGTAGCTTGAGTATTGGAATAATTTAGAATATCTTAGATTATCTCTTATTAGGATTGGTTTCCATATTTTTTAATATTTCATGATTTATCCTTATTTAATTAGTAATAATGATCTGGTATTACTTTTTTTTTTTTACAAAGATCTGGTATTATTATAAATAAGTTTTGCTGCTTTGTATTTTAGATCATATTGCAACACATAATATTAAATCAAATATGTGCGTCAACTTTTTATCTGTTCTTCCCAATGTACCTAAAACACTATAACTTTAACAGTTTCTAGGTTTTATTGATATAAAAAAAAAAAAAAAAGAATCTGAGACATTACTCTAAAGTATTGTGTTTATTAATGTTGAGTTGAGTTACTGATCAAAATGGACCTCAGAATTTTCTCTTATTATGGAAAATCTGTCCATGTCATTTGGCCTTAGAGTTCATAGTTTACAGTTGGAAAAGTGGCAGATATTTTCATGTCATTCAGTTCAGTCCTGAGCTTCATTTGTGAAGTGTTAAACTACACATTTTCTCCCACTTCATTTCCTTATATCATTAATTCTCTTTATCATGGTCGAATGGTTTCCTTATCTAGTGGTCATCAAATTGTGAATGTTTCTCCTTATAATAATAATATCTTCAAATGAATCATTGAATTTCTTGGAGATATGAGCCGAGCAATTTTCCTGCTGTCTTTTTCTTCGTTTAACTGAGTAGAATGATATTGAATGATCCATGTAGCCCATCTCACCTATTAGGATAAAACTTTGTTTTTGTTGTTACTTTTCTTCATTTAACACATACAACATGAATATTATACTTTAGTGCTTAAAGATTTGTTCCAAAATTTTAAATTTTGTGTCATTCTTTTATCTAGCCAGAGGCACAAACATGATGAGATGCACCTGTTTCCGATTCCTTTTATATTGAACTAAGTTTGCATTTTTTTAATCACAGTTTCCGGATGTTCAGCAATGAGGATGTTACAATTGGAGCTTGGATGCTTGCAATGAATGTCAACCATGAGAATAGTCGTGAACTTTGTGCTCCAGAGTGTACTTCTACTTCAATTGCTGTGTGGGATATTCCCAAGTGTTCAGGTTGGTATTTCTCCTTTTTCCACAAGTTTGTGATTGTATCATATGACATTCCCTTCAATATTCTGAAAATTACATGAAATTCATGAAGTTCGCTCCCAAAATAATAATCATCATATAAAAAAAAATCAATACAGAAAAAGTAAATAAATAGGGTTACTAATTAAACATTACAGAAAATAAAACAGATCATCTCTTTGGCTCTAATATTCTAAAATTCATTTTATGAGGACAAGGTGACTTAAATTCAAAGTGGTTTAAATCCCTTTCAAAATTACAGAAACACTTAGATCATTTAAATATATATAAAAGAATAAAATAGTCTAATTTATAGAATTCTTACCAGATATTATTTAAAGTAAGAAATAGTACATTAACTTTTTTAGACGTTTAAGGATTGAATATGTTCTGATCCATAAAATGTGCATATTGTGAGATTCTTTCATTGTAATTAGATCTTAAGTCAGCATCCAATGATTTTTGGTCAAATATATAGAATAAATTTAGTTGGAATATACATATATAATTCAATCATATATTATCTTATTTGATAAGATTATTAACTTCTGTAATAAGTTATTTGAAAATTCATATTCAAGATCATTTCAAAGCAAAACTTTTACATCATCAAAATTCAACTCTATATATATAACATATATCATGAAGTGCACTTCAAAGTAGAATATTTTCCCTGATGATACCGAAATGGTGTGCCTACAGGTCTCTGTAATCCAGAAAAGAGAATGCTGGAACTCCATCAACAGGAAAGTTGTACTCAGAGTCCAACTTTGAACTCTGATGAATAGTATTTGATCGAATTTTTTACGAAGGGAATGTGAAATTTTGCTTGCACTTGTTATCTTTTACTGCAGTGACCAGCTACCATTACAATCCTTTTCTATCCATTCATCTTTCTCTTTCTGATTCATATCTTTTCATGTCTGAAGACTCTTTCATGTATTTTGTTTTTCCATCAATTTTCCTTGTACTCTCTTCCTTTTCTCTTCCTACCTTCTTCAGGGAAGAAGGCTTTATAGTTTTCATAGACCACAAAAGAAGTGTTTATGTAGAAGATCTTTCAAACATCATCACTGGAAGATAACTTCACCATTTTTTAGGGGAAAGAAATTGTAATTTGCAGCTGCAAATTAAAATTTATAATTTTGTTATTTCATTTCAATTCTTTCTTGTGGGATGCTCAATTCTATTATGGATGTAATATTAAAGTTTAATATTCCATTTTTTGCTTACAATTTATTTTGTTTTCTCTTTGGTTCAAAGGATGATTTAGACAAACAAATTGCCTTAACAAGTTACTGAATCAGCAGACTGATCAAATGTTTAAAAATAGTAGTAATAATAACTATTGTTATTCTTATAATTAAATAAATATCTCAAGCATGTAATCCTAAGACTATGTAATTAGGTATACTGTGTTGTAATCTATCAGCAAAGTATCAACCCTGATGAGAAAAATCAGATATAGTGACACCAGAATCTTGATTGGCAAAACATTATGAGGAAGTTCTCATTAAATCTTATAGGTGAGTTAAGGTGAACAGTAAGTCATCATGGTTCGAGACTGAACCATTTTTAAATGTATTTGTAAATATTTTGAGTTTTGAGCTTAATTCATCTAAACATTTCAGCATAATAAAAAATTCATTAATGACAAGTCTTCATTGTGGTTCAACCAGTGTACATCCAGCATCGTGCATACATGATTTTCTGATTAAAGTACATGTAAAGAACAAATCTTTGATTTAATCTTGTGACCAATGTTTCTTCTTCAAATGTTGTAATTTAATTATCTCTAATGTTTTCTCTAAAAGATTGACCTTTTAAAGTTAATTGGAGTCTTTGAAACTTTCAGCTATGTTGGTGAGATGATCATCTTTCTTTTAGATTTATGGTTTATTAAAATTTGATATCATATTATACTACAAATTTTTGTTTGAATTCAATGAATGAAAACAAACAAGAGAAAAAGATGGGAAACTTTCCGTTGAAACTCACTTCTGCTAAATCATTTAAACTTCTGTACTCCAGCACAAAGCTTCAACTCATACAACTTTAAAACTCTTTCTAGCTTGATCTAATTAACCTTTCATTGTAAAATTTAGGTTAGTAATATGGATTTGTTATAATAATTTATTATCATAAAAATTAGGATAATAATTTTCAAACTTCATACTATAAATGACTGATGTTACTGTTGGGAAGAACTGCAAATAATCTACCGCTGACCACCTTTTGCATCTATAGATTCATCTATTCCCCTCTAAGATTTAGTACATCCTCAGTATTTTTTTTTTTTTCTTTCACCCTCTCAGCACTCCTACAAATAGTAATATGATTTTGATGATTTTATATTATGAAACAAAATTACATCACCACAAAAATGTGAGCATAGATTCATGTATTATTATAATATATTTGTTTCTAGAATTTCATCATCCATGTGGACATGCCGGAGTGGTTATCGGGCATGACTAGAAATCATGTGGGCTTTGCCCGCGCAGGTTCGAATCCTGCTGTTCACGGTTTTTCTTTTTGCTTCATTTAATCATATTGATTTCAAATATGTTTAACATTATATACAATTATTTCTAACTAATCTCAAATCATAAAAACTCTAAAATGTAAAAAGTTTTTTTTTTTTACATATGATCAAAAGTTATTTATTTTCTATTATAGGTTGAATAGATGTTATCATACAATTATTACTAATCTCCAATCATAAAAACTCTAAAATGTAAAAAGTTGAGGTGATTAAGTTGGGTTTCTCCTTTTTCCAATACCACAACAAAAAATTGAACTAAAATCATATATATATATATATATATATATATATATATATATATATATATATATATATATATATATATATATATATATATATATATATATATATATATATATATATATATTCCCTTTCCCTTTCTCTTCGACTAACCAACTTAGAAAAAAATGATAGAAAATTGGTGTTTATAGCTAGCCCCTCCATGTTACAATAAGAAGTGACAAATAACATTATGAATGAATATTATTGGCAGAAAGAATGGGTGTACCTAAACCAAAAGAAATTGGACCCCATTAACTTAAAAAATTATTTTTCAAATTTTTTCCAAAATAAAAAAAAGTGGGTATCAGTCACCTTTATCTTTCCTTGAAGTCAAGCTTATTCTTCATTTTATTTTAATATTAATATTGTGATCTTATTTGGGTATCATTCTTGAATTTTCTTCCAATGAATGGAGTACTTGTTAAGATTCGAAGTTAGTGGGAAATATGGGCCTCCAATGATGGACCCATTATTGGGCCATCGAAAGTCAATCATACTGGGCCCATGTCCTAATTCTAGAAAGGTTTTCAACGGATGGGGATACAGAGGGGCCCATGTGGCCCATCAAACATCCACCTTTCTGTTCCAATAAGTAAAAACAAACAGTGACCTTGCCTCCTGCTGACGTGGAGTTGACACATTTCCTACCTCCTACCCTTAAACCTATCTTTTTACCACTACCATTAGCCAAATCATATATACCAATATTATTATTTTAATATGTGGATACAATAAATTTCAAAATATTTAATTATTTATTTTAATCTGAAATTCAATTAAGTGATAATCTGATATAAATTTTTCATAAACATTTATGAAGAAAATAAAATAAATTTAGATACTTCAAATATAAGATTTGTGAGAATTTATTCATTTTTTAACTCCAACTCACTCCTAAATCTCTACATAATATTATATACATAATTTTTTATACAAAATAAAAAACTGAGTTTATCTGATTTGACATGAAAAAATAATAATTGAGACATGGCTGTTTCTGAATGAATAGTTTTTGTGTACTATTTGTTTCTTACACTGATACATAAATTATCAACGCAATACATCATTAAATAGTTGCACTGGAAACAAGTTTGAAAAAAAGGATCCAATTATTTAAATTCACATCAGCATGTGTGTTCAATTTGCAAGAAAAACCATAACAGTGTAAAAGTTAATTTATTTACTTATGTAACTTAGCACTGAAAAGACAAACAAAGTGGGACTAAGACTGAGTTCATATACAATTTAGCTTTCCAGATTCGGAAAAGACCTTTACCAAAAGAAAGCAATGTTTTTTATTTTTTGTCCAAAATAAAATTTGAAACTAATCAATGACATAAAAGCATCTTTGAAACCCCCTTCTAAAATATTCTGTGTGGAAACCTATAGTAATTTTTTATTACCTTTTAAATTTGAAAAATTTTTTGTTGGAAGAATAACACAGGGCATAATTATGTTAATCATTACATTGTCTTTGGATTATTGTGCTAATTGTCTATCATATGAAGTAGTTTGTGTGGACTGTGATTCAGACAGCACTACAAGCAAAAACAACAACCTAGGTTTTGAAGAAATGAGAAGGAACATCATTGTGCAACATTATGTTACATAATTTTAAAAGATTCAAGAGAAATTTCACAATTTGATGTTAATTTTAAATTTTCTAAGTTATGCAATGAATTTGTTTATGATGAAAAAAAGCAGCTGGTACAAACTGACTTACTTGGCAGGTTGCAATTGTCGGTAACCAATGGAAAGCACTTACTGTTCAGTTTGGATCAAAATGATTTTCCCCTACTCTACACAGAATAGCTTAATTTCAAAGCTATATATGATAAAGTAAATTCAAGTGTATTTCATCTTTTTATAATTTTTTGCTATTTTTAATGAATTACAAAATGTTTTGATATTTAATGTTGATATGAATTATGATAAAAATGGTTAACAATGACAGTAATATAGTCCATCTGAATTAATGAGTGTGTGAAATAGAAAATAGAGACAAGGTGGTGTACATGGGAATTTTTAAAATTTATTCTTTAAAAATTAAAGAAACTTTCAAAACGTTGGCATTGGAGACACGTTCATTTAATTGGGACGTAACAAACAACATGTTAGAAGAAAACAGTGCCATTAAAAAAAACTCAGAAGACTAAATTGAATTAAAAAGTATTAGAAATTGGCAACATATTACATGACTAAATTGAACAATACCTAAAGAGTCAAAATGAAATTAAAAATTTTAAAATTGACATAAACATTCCATCTAAGCAACTCATGTTGGTCTAAGGAATCTAATGATACAACAGGAACCTCGTCAAAAGTTGTAGTGAAAAATAACACTAAGACATTAACAGGGTGAATCATGAAATCACCATATGGGAAAGAATCTTGAAACCCCTTTAAATGTACATGAAATTTTCTCCTTTCAAAGTGCTAGGTGGAATAATTCCAGTCACAAGAAGTCCTTTCCATTTATTAAATAATTAGTTTCTTCTTTTCTGGGCTTTGCTGCATTTACCAGTACTGTGATATTTTCTCTTAATTCCTAACGGGCATCACGTGCCATTGCAGTTCCTCAACCCCCCTCTGTCTCTCTCTCTATATTCAAAACCAATGAAGTGAAGGGAATGGTGACAATGGACTAAGCAGAGAGACAGAGAAGTGGGCTATCCCAATTCCATATTACAAAGATCAATGATGATCATAGCTCTGTTCTGTCACACTTTCCTCATTTATGTGCCACTTTCCACTTCTCTTATTCATACTATATATTTAATTTAACCACAATTAATTTAGCATGTAGCATCTCTATGAACACAATAACACAAGTTAGATCCAAAGCATGTAAAAATAATAATCTAGTTGAGGATAAAAACAATGACTGAACACACAACAGGACAGGACAACATAGACCTTCCCTGAAGAAAATAATTATCCCCATTATTTGCCACTCCAAGA